ACGATGATACCTTGCTCTGATGATGTTCGTCATATGACGGACGAAAGCTTAGCATCTTTTCACCGAAATCTAAGGAGATTACTTCGGAAACAGAGTTAGCATGAATCTTCCAGTGAAGCCAATCGACAGATGGGCAAGAGGAATCCACCGTAGTCTTCTGGTAGAGCCGAACTTTAAGTCTCTTCACTCAACACTTTCACTCGAAATTTGAGTAAGCTCAACAATTATGAAACAAAAGATTCCTCGAAACCCAACTTTTCATCGCATATGAACCATTTGCCTGAAGTCATAATGAGAGTTTTAAATGCAGACTTCAAATAAATCCTTTCGCTTTTTTAGGGCCTATACCTTTCATGCACTTTATCTAGTGTCCTCAGGTGGTGTGATGAAATCGCGAGTAGAAAGCGTCCACGGATAAAACGTCGAATGAGGAACTCTTCGTCAGAACATATATTTTGCCTACAACTTTCATGTTGATCATTTGTACCAAAGCCACCTGTTTGACGAGATAAAGCCTAGAATTTTCAAGGTGCGGTTTCATTCTGACTTATTTAATGCGCCTATACACCCTAGCAAATCCCCCAAACATTGGTGCTTTCTGGGCTAGAGCCCCAAAAAGGGTGCAAAAATAAGGTGAGATGTTCAATTCGCAGAACAATGTTTGCAGCTTACAGATTAAAACCAAAGTATAACTATTGCAAGCATAGAAAAATAAAAACAGCTTGTTTGGCTAGTAGTGCGTAAATATGTAGAAAGGAATAAAATGTTGCAGTTTGATGCTAAAATCGTGAAACAACGCCTAACTAAGCTTACTACTTACAAGTTTCGTTCTTTAAAAGTAGGCCTTCGAGATTCTTTATTTTTCATATTGAGTATTGTGTCGTGACTACCAGTAAATCAGTAATATGAGATATATTCACCAAATTTAGTTTAAGGTAATGAAGGACTGGTAGAAGAAGAATTTTCCCACAATGATATGAGTTGATCTGACGTTTCTAATGAATTTCACATAGCCTTGCTTTCCCAAAAGTTGTTCTTATATAGGCACCAGTGGACTGCAGTTTCGACCTCGCATCGGTCTTATCAATATCCTCAGCGGGAGTCGAACCGCATTTGCGCTGTGACTCAAGGGCACTCGTTGAAAGGTAGCCGGGTCTTTAGCCTGTCAAGCTCCCATCCTGCACTGTCGCGGTTCGAATCCCGCTGAGGGTGGTGATAAGACCGATGAGAGGTCGAAACTCCGGTCCACTGGTGCCTGGATAGAAACAACTTTTGGGAAAGCAAGGCTATGTGAAATTCATTGGAAGCGTCAGCTCAACTCATATCATTGTGTGAAAATTCTTCTTCTACCAGTCCTTCATCACCTTAAACGAAATTGGGTGAATACATTTCATATTCGAGATTCTTATCTATAATCCGAGTGGACATTTTATTCAAATGCAAAGTCTGAAGGTACAGACAAGGCGATTGAAGCAAATGTGCACATTCTCAAAGTGGTGCCAACCCAGAGAAGACACAAGCCCGCTAAGGATCCTGGACAAAGGCACCTACCGGTCTATCTTTATCATACATTTGATGAGTGCATCGACCGACGACCTTCTCGAGCAGAATCCGAATGTGGCATAAGTGGATTGTGTTGTCTGAATTACTCATCTTTTCAGTGCACGCCGACTGCGGTTTTGAGATGGCCGAGCCTCCCTGCGAATTGTCGAGCGAAAACATCTGGAAAGCTGGTCCTCCATCCTGACCCGCAGTAGTGGCGACCTGCGACATGAGCGATGTCAAAAGAGCATGGCTGGGTCGATTCTCGTGGCTAGAAGAGGTCTTTCCCGGTTTCTTGGATACCAGATTGACCTCGAAGCAAAGAAAAAGGTTGCTGAGTGTCTTTTTGTCTGGAATCACATTGTAGAGATTATGCAACCGCTTTTGCGTCAGGAACGGCCGCATCTCGACACCGTGCCTCAACAGGAGACTAACGAAATTCACCTGGTTGTCAATCAGGGCACGTTCCAACAGAGGCGTGAGGATGCCTGAGAACAGAGACGGAAGAGATAAACAACTAAATTCGGCCAATTGATTCAAATCAGGCTGGTGAGAAGAGATTTAACAGAAAGCGTGATTGATTCGGACATAACAAGAATAAAGAAATCCTATACACTATTTACTTATTTTCTCGAAGCCTACTTCCTTTGAATATAAATAACCTAATCAATAGTAGTAAAAAAATGCAAGTTTGCTACGTCTCCAGTATGGGTTACTCATTGGACCCAGGTGAGCCTGGAACGAAACACATTTTTGGAAGCAAGTCTAGATGAAGTTTAATGCAAACATGAAGCCTATTTATATCACCTTGTGAGACCTAGAGTGACTGAATTACTTATTCAAAAAGCAAGAAGCAAATCCGTAAGGATGGGCTAAAAACGGCATTTCTATAGTAAAGCTAAGTTAATCCCCTAAAGATGCCAATGCGATCTGGCTCCCAAAATACTCACCATCAGTTAAACCTTATGTAAAAGCGTATAATGGCTGAGTTGACAAAGATTAAAACAAGACCTCCCTGCTAATCCAAGCAATGAAGAGAAAGGAAGTCCGGAGAAAATATTACGAAGGAAATATTTCGTATTTTCTAAGATAAAATAGGTTTCGATAAATTTCATGATAGGTCTTTGCTGGCAGATTTGTTTTTCGTGTAAAAGTGCGTGAAGATGAGATTCGTAGTGTAATCTTACAAGGAGACGACGTTGAATTCCTGATTATTTGCACTTTATTAACTTTCATGGGACTTCCACGAGATATCCGCTCTTCCGTTCGGGCGAAAACGTGCTGCGCTCTCTGTCGTCTGTCCTACTACATAACAGGCATCCTTGGAATGAGAACACATTCCTATAGCGACCTAGCGCTTCGAACAAGCCAAATGTACTGATTTAAAGAAATACGTAATTCATGCGACGAAGTTAGAAGGAATGCCCCAACTAAAACCCGAGCGGCCAACACTTATGAAATCCGAATTGGACAGAAAGTTTTAAGAGTAAACTCATGGTAATCCCATTAAGTCAAATGGAAAAGAGTTTAAGGTTTATCATATAAGGTAAAAAATAGTAGGGAATATTCAGGAAGGGATTCAAGGCATTTATAGATTTCGATATGATTCTTGATGAAGTTTTAATGGACTGATTTGCCTTTTAGGCCAAAAAAATAACAAATTCCCTGCCATTCTATTTGTAGGATATGTGAGGTAATTGGCTGATTGTAGTATGTCTTTTCAAAAGGGAAAAAATTGGGAGAAAAGTTAAATAACACATTGAGTTTTACAAATAGGGGTAGGAAGTTGAATAAAATGTACTTAAGAATGTTAAAATATTTTTCTTTTCCCTCGTGACTATCTGGATATCC